TCTCTGTGCCCCGGAGCAGGCGGGGGTGGGGGTGTGCAGGCCGGCCAGCCTCCTCCTCCTCCCCACGGCGCTCGTGCTTGTGCGCGCGGGCCCCGGGCTGGGGCCGAGCCTGGAGCCCGGCTGGCCACAGCAGGAGCCCGGCCGGACTGGAGGGTCGAGGGTGGGCAGCAGAGACCCCGCACTGACGGGCTGGGGCGAGCTCTGCGTTGCTTCTCCTCGGCGGCGATCCGATCTCTGTGGCACCAAAACCGGCCTGGCTTGAGAGGGGTCGCACCAGCTACGCGCGGCTCGGGACAGACGGGCCCAAAGGAGCGGACGGCACGCGTTTCCCCTGCGGTCCCAGTGCTGCGTCCTGAGGGAAGGCTGCCGGGTGCTCCTGCCTGCCTCGTGCTTTCCGCAGGCAAGCAGCAGCCCCCGCGATCGGCCTTAAGTCATTCTGAGTTGGCTTCAGAACTGAGGTGGTTTTAAAGCCTGTGGGTAAGGGGCATCTTCCCCGGGCTTTCCCGCAGTCCTGAAGGAAGCAGACTTTTAAGTGTGTCGCTGCCGTTTTTGGATGGCACTTGCCAGACGGGAAATAATGCTGCTTCCCTCATTAGTTAGTGCTCGCCTAGGTAGATGGTTGTCCGGCACACTGAGTAAAATACTGTTTTCAGCTCGTCATGAAATAGCTGCTTTCCCAATTCAGATTTAGTGGACCTTAATTTGCAGAGTTAGGCAGGAGTCTGTGAAGTCAGGGCCAGGATTTGTCAGACTGACACAGTAATTGGGTTTGCTTTGTGGCGGAAAGGTCTTGGGCTGTGCAGCCTGCCCGAGGCAAGTGGCTTTCATGAGCTCCACATGGGCTGTCTGGGTTGAAAATGAAGGTGGAAACTGTAAAATGACCATCTTTCTTGCTGTTGTAACTCTCTTCCATTCTCCAAACTTTTCAGGGACGCGTGCGAACAAAGACCGTGAAAAAGGCTGCCCGGGTCATCATTGAAAAATATTATACCCGGCTTGGGAATGACTTCCACACAAACAAGCGGGTGTGTGAGGAGATTGCCATCATCCCCAGCAAGAAACTGCGCAACAAGATAGCTGGGTAAGGCAGGATTCTGCTCCAGAGAAATCAAAAAACTTTTGCTGTAGAAATACCTCTTTGTTTTACCTGTGTGTGTGGCTCTTGCATTGGTGTGTTGGCTCTTAAAAAATTAGACAACTGTTTTTTCTTGTGAGTTGCATGGAAATATTTTTTTCCCTTTCTTCCTGTCCATTGTGGGTCCCCGCCCCCCAAACTTCTACTAAGCAGTATTCCTGTTAGCCAATTACCTTTGTGGCCAAGCACTAACTAATGTGGATTTATGGAACTGCTGAGGCATGTGCACAGAATTTATGAAGGGTTAAGTTGTAACCTATTTTACGAACTTCTTGTCCAGAATTTGCTACAATAACTTTCCTGAGCTCATTTACCTCTGGGCAAATTGGAGGTGAGAGTGTATGGATCACACCTTAGAGCTGGCATTGGTGTCAGTCATCTGAATTGCTGCTCTGTGTGCATATTCAGAGGAGGAGATGCTTGAGAAATTGATTTACAGCTCTTCATTTGGGCAAAGTCAGAATTGTTAAGTCAGTGCCTCCTTACCCATAGGAGAACAGTATTTTGGAACCAGGTGGAATCTCAAAGCTGTTCGCTGTGTGACTGATGTCTGCTAACTTGGTGTGTCCATTTGCAGCTATGATAAAGTAAAGCCTGAGGGAAATATCCTGGGTTCTAACTGATGCTTAAATCTTGGGGAGGTTGACTAGAATCACTGGGCCAGGAACATTGTTTAGACTTTCTCTGAACCTGCATTCGAAAGTGATTTTTGGCCTTGTCCGTGGCCTGGTCATTGATAGTGCAGGAAGAGGAACATTTGAAAGCTTTTCCCGTGTTTGGAGGGCTCACTGTCATCCCTGCCAAACCCTGTGGCTTTCAGACATTTCTTCTAGCCTCTGTACACTGTCATTCTGCTCTTTCTGTAAAGCAGAACAGTCATGTCCAAGCTGGTTCACAGTGCATCTTTCTGTGAAATGGACATAGTTTTCAGCTGTGAAGTGGCAGGGGTGGCTACAAGCAGTTTTGGTTGTTTAAGTTTGGGGCAGATATGAGGTCCCTGACACCCTTTTGCTAATCTTATGCAGAACAGGAATGTAAACTCAGCTAAGTCTGTTAGTACAAGAATGCAGGGTGCAGAAGAACAGTTTTCTGATGATCTCCTTGCAGGTACGTCACCCATCTGATGAAGCGTATTCAGAGAGGGCCAGTCAGAGGCATCTCCATCAAACTACAAGAAGAAGAGAGAGAGAGGAGGGATAACTACGTCCCTGAGGTAAGATTTTTTTTTTTTTTTTCAGCTGCATTTGGACGCATTTTGGGCCTTTGTCTTGGAAGAGCTGCTCTCCTGTCCTGCTTACATCTGGCTCTGGCAGAGCTGACAACAGAGCCTCCACTAGATGTTTAGTGACCACAAGACATTTGTTCCTGAAAACATAACTGTTTCTGGATGCCCTGTTAGCTGCCTCACCTCTTTTTTAAAACAGTCCATCTGCTGGAGCTGGGACCTGTCACATGGATTGAGGGTGAAGCATACATCTGAAGTACTCCTGGCTTAACCTCAGAAATGCCCTGTTGCATGAAGGAACCAGGCATTTTGGCTTCCTAATCTCAGTTCCTTCTTGCTCTGTGGTGCAAATAATCTCTACTGCTGTTTCCTGTTCTGTAAAACGGGGTGTTCAGCCTGGGCATTGGAGGATGGAGCATTTATAAAGCAGTGTATGCACAGCAGTGCTCAGTACTTTGAATGGCACTGGAAAAATGCATGTGCTGCTCTGCTCTGCTTGTTCATGGAGAGGTGGAATGGCATGGGCTTTCCTGATTTGTCCCTAAACTGGGCAGCAGGAGAGTGTGTTGCTGTTTTGTTCCTCATCATTTCAGTTTTGTTCACCTAGAGCTGTTTAGACCTAACTAGCACCTTGTTGCCTTACTCAGGCTTTTAAAGGTCTCTTTCCTCCTGAACCTGCATTCGAAAGTGATTGTGGTCTTGTGTGTGACCCGGTCATTGATAGTGCAGGAAGAGAGACTCCTGAAAGTCTTTCCCGTGTTTGGAGGGTTTGATCCCATCCCTCCCAAACCCTGTAGCTTTCAGACATTCTTTCTCTGGCCCTGGGGGATACTTGCTGTAACTGGTTTGCAGGAAAATTACATTGGCAGCACCACAGTGTATAAACACTAGGCCTGTGTGAGTAGACAGCTATTCCATCTGGCTTCGGATCCAGCCGCTTTGGATGCCAGCTATCCGATCTGGAGCTCCAGACCGGGTCTCCGCTTCGGAGCTGCCTTGGAGATCCAGCCATAGGGTATAATGGGGAATCGATTAAATATCTATAACTTTGTTGTTTTTTATCTGATTTGGATGAAACTTGCAGGGGTGGTAGCCTCTGCTGAGAGCATGAAGCCTACCAAGTTTCAAGAAGATCAGTGCAGTGGTTTGGGGGGACCTGCACCCCAAATTCCTGAAAGCAAAACTCATGTCATGTGTATGTTACACCACAGGGGGGTGAAAACTTCAGGGGTGGTGGCTCCTGGTGAGGCCACAAAGCCTACCAAGTTTCAAGAAGATCAGTGCATGGGTTGGGGGGAACTGTACCTCAAGCCGTGGACAAGCAAAACTCGTGACATGGGTGACACTGTGTGTTAAGGCGCAGCAGGGTGAAAGCTGCAGGGATGGTGGCCCCTGCTGTGGCCACAATGCCTGCCAGCTGTCCAGGAGATCGGTACAGGGGTTCTGGAGCCCTGCACCTCTAGCTGCTGACGGGCAAAACTCATGTCATTGGTGCTTGTGCAACTGACTGTGTCGGTCTTGGGGCAGTTGATTGTCTGTATTGATTATTTTCTCCTGAAGCTTCCAGTGATATTGATTCAGATTCATAGGTTCAGTCTCTGAATTATCCGAATCATGATCCAAAGCTTTGCACAGCCCTAATAAACACCGTAGTTTGCTGTATGCCGTTTAGTTGAGTCATTGATGCTCAAGTTTGGCTGCATGGCTTGCTTCTGTGGCACATCCTATGTGTATGCGCTGCTTCGTGAGTAGGCTGCAGGGCTGGTGAGATAGTGGCTAGAGACATGGGCTGGATTGTGTCCTCCATTCCTCCCTACTGCTTTATACCTGGCTTATAGGTTTTGTGGTTTACTTGGGAGTAGAGTCACTGTCGACCTTTAGGCCCTGATGGGGAATTACTGAGTGGGGCTTTGTGTCAGCCTTGGGTTGCTTCACTCCTGGCATTCACAAATACCAGAGCTTGCTTTTGTCCCCATTCTGATGGTATACATTTACAGAGACCCATTCATTGATCTCTCCCGTGCTTCTGGCATCTGGAATACCTGTGTGATGTCCTGGTCTTCCCACAAAAAGCCAGACACCTGAATTTGGGGTACTAGGACCCTAGGCCCATCCCATTCAATGTTGTGTCTACTTGCAGTCCCCAGCTCCAGATGCTTCAGAGAACAGTGTAAAGACCCCTCCCCCATAGTCAGGTGCAACATGATCATCTCCTTTGCAAGATCTATCTGTATCAATTGTGAACTGTGTCCAAACTCTGCATTCACTAACCTTCTTACACCTGTATTTCAAGGGCCAGATTTTCCGGTATCAGTGGACAGAGCAAAAGTCCTAAAATACCAGTCTGCTGCTTTGTGTCACTGAAATGGAAGTAATTCCTCAGTACTGTTGTAGCTGTCACGGGATATTGGTTACAAGTTGGGGAATTGCTGTAAGAAATGATAAAATTGCCCTTCAGTGGAGTCTCTTGCAGAACCTGCAGTCAGACTAAACCTATGTCTTGCTTTGCACTTTTAGAATATTAATTTTTCACATGCCAAGGAGCGAGGGTCCTGACTTTCATGCAGAATCCTCAGACAGTATCTGTGGGAACCTGTGGTAAAATGCTGGCTGAACCCTGCCAGTTTCCACATTGGGGCAGATTTACTTGCAGTGAAAGTCTTGGACCTCTTTGGTGTCTTTCTCAGCTCTAGGAACACTGTTAGAGAACCAGGTTATTTCCATGCTCTAAGAAGTTTAATGTATACTCTTTCTGTCACCGAGGTGAGATTAAACTGGGCTACAGCAAAGCATGGCAAAACTTGTAAGCAGATGCTTGTAAGCATATCCCAAATGTTTACAAGTTTTGTCATACATGCAAGGCACATGTGAAGTCACTTCAGGCTGTGATTTTAAAGCACCTAAGGAGTATAAGGTTTTCAGCTTCAGGCTCAAAAGGAGGCACGTAACCTGCTTATGGTTATTTGATTCTTGACATGTAGCCTGATAGTGGTGGCTATCACATTCTTGATGTGTGCGAGTTCAGTAGAACAGTGTTGGCTGGAAATGTAGCTACGCTGTCTGGTTGCTGCTTTGTGTTTGACTTTGTGTTGCTGTCACTGTAAGCGTGGTACTAAAGCCTTGAGTTGGTTGGTCTCAGCTTTGAGGATCTTAAATATGACAAATCTGGAATTCCAGTAATTGTTGGGAAATGAAATAATGAATATGTCCCTCTTGTAGTCTCTTTTGAGGACTGACTGGCAAAAATGGGGAGGGGAGAAATGGAAAACCTTGAAGTAAAATGTAAATTAGTTTGAATGAAGTGGATGCATCAACCACAGCTGAGCTCTTATAGCCCTGAAGGGCAGGAATTGAAAGCCATGTTGTTGAAAACCTGAACGCTCAGCCAAAGGTTAGAGCTTTTCTTCCACGCTTCAGATCTTTCTTTCCTGCTTGCTTAGGACTGGGCTCTCTGTTCATTAATCCTTAAGTGGGTGGTGTGATTGGTATTACTGCCCTGGCTCCTGGGAGGCAGCGGGGTGTGAGGATGAGGGCAGGTGGGGAAAGGCCAGATACATCAGCAGATGCAGCAAGAGTAGTCTAATAGAGCAATGTATTGTCATGGCCAGTGTGAGGCAGGTACATCCTCATGTCATGCACGCAGTTTCCTTCTTTCCATGCAGGCTGGTATTTGGCTCTTCAGCCACAGCCACCTGTTTGAATATGATTGTTTGCAGTTGTGGGGTTTTTTTGGTGGGAGAGGAATGACAGGTTAATAGCCTCAGATGAAACCTAGGTTCAGAAAGTCCCACATGCTATTGTAGGGCAGGAAGGTGGGAAAGATGGCTGAAGGCAAAGAGAGACCCTCAGGACCTGAGAGATCGTATGTAGGGGACCGTGTACCACAAGATGCATGTTTTTGTATGGCAGGGAAGTTGGTGTGCTTCACGACTCTTCCCCACAGTGCCTGTGACAGCACCTGAGGCTTCTGTAGCAATAGGATGTTGTGAGGTGCAGGTGGCAGGATTGTCTGTGCAAAGGTACCAGTCTGAACAACCTGGTGAAGGAGAAACATTAGCTTGTGGCTTCTCGGACACTTTCATAGCATGGACCTTCTGATGTGTTCCCTCCATCTCTGATGTGTTCCCTCCAATTCATGAGCACATGGACCTTCCTGCTGGCAATAGAACACCTTCCCCACCAATAATAATAGTAGATTGTTTCCATGAAAAAAGTAACTGGGAAAATACCTAATGCCGCATAGCAGCTAGGAAGAACAAACGGGTGAGTAGCTAGCCTTCTCAGTCAGCTCAGAGCTGTGGGTTTCCTCTGAAGGGTGGTCCCATACCTTGCTTCAGGTCTCTGTGTTCTACTTGATATAACGTTAGCTAAAATGTTCAGGTCTGGGATTCTGGGGATCACGGAGCTGTTTCTGGCTTGTGTGACATTTAACAAGCTGCATCCGCTTCTCCCTTTTTAGGTCTCTGCCCTTGATCAGGAGATCATTGAAGTTGATCCAGACACCAAGGAAATGCTGAAGCTGCTGGTAAGATTTCAATAGTCGTGGGTAGTTCGTTATTGAAGGCCTTGTCAGGGCACCACTGAGCCCCTCCTCCCTAATAGTTGTATTTTGTAGCTTAGAGTCCCCTCTCGCCCTGTCACTAGTACTTCTTCCTGTCTGCCCCTTACAAAAGGTTGCAAAGAATCTCATGATCTCAGTGGGATTCAGAGATCTGTTGGTGGGTGAGCAGCTGGAGTAGTGTGGGGGGAGGCTGTTGGGTTGTAATCTGAAATGCCTCCCTCGCAGAGGTGGGAGATCTGACCTACTGAGTGTGTAATGGCTCTGTTCTGTGTGTACCTTCCAGGACTTCGGCAGTCTGTCCAACCTGCAGGTTACACAGCCCACAGTGGGAATGAACTTCAAAACACCAAGAGGAGCTCTCTAAATCCATCATCATACTGTCACTTTTCCAATAAACGTGGGAAACCAAGTGTGTTCCCTTGTTCCACTTATTTCTAGATTGTCTTGATTCTTTAAAGAAGAGTTTTGAGAGCTCAGGGATCCTGTGCTCTTAATGGCATGAAACATTTCATAGATTTTAGGGTCAGAAGGGACCTATTAGATCATCGAGTCCAACCCCCTGCGCTGGGCAGAAAGAGTACTGGGTTCAGATGACCTCAGCTAGGTGTTTGTCCAATCTCCTCTTGGTCATCTGTACCCTTCTTCTGTCAGTAATACAATCATAGAAAATGAGGTTTGGAAGGGACCACAGGAGGTCACATCTAGTCCAACCTCCTACTCAAAGCAGGACCTGCCCCAACTAGGTCATTGCAGCCAGGGCTTTGCTGAGCCAGGCCGGAAGTTCTCCAAGGATGGAGATTCCACCACTTCTTCAGGTAACCTGTTCCTGTGCTTCACCACCCTCCTAGTGAGTGTTTTTCCTAATATCCAATGTAAACATCCCTTGTGACAACTTGAGACCATTGCTCCTTGTTGTGTCATCTGCCTCCACTGAGAACAGTCCAGCTCCATCCTCTTTGGAGCCCCTCTTCAGGTAGTTGAAGGCTGCTATTAAATTCTGCCTCTCTTCTGTAGACTAAGTAAACCCAGTTCCCTCAGCCTCTCCTCCAGAAGTCATGTCCCGCAGCCCCTAATCATTTTCATTGCCCTCCACTGGACTCTCCAACTTGTTCACCTCCTTTCTGTAGTGGGGGGCCCAAAACTATCACCTGCAAACTTGCTTAGGGTGCAATCCATCCTATCTTCCAGATTGTTAATGAAGATATTGAACAGAACCAGCCCCAGTTCTTAGAAAGCCCAGAGGTTCCTGGCTAGATGGTTTAGTTGTTCTGCTCAGGGTCATACCAAAGACCAAATCTGGGGGCAGGATGGACTTTTTTTTCCCTTGGGTCACATTAGTATGGACTGGTGGTTTTTGTGTTGTAAGGCATAGTCCTTTCCCTAGGATCTTCTGAGTGGCAGGACACTGAAAGTGCCTTCATTGCCTGCTGCTTTAACCTATGGCATACGATAAGGCACTTTGGGTATTGCTCCTTCTGTGAATATTTGAAGTAGCAATTATGGGGATTCATGTCCCAGGTACATGCTTATATTAAGGCCCATATCTCCTTATAAACAGTGATGCGTAGGGAAGGAGCTAGTGCAGTGATTTGTAGCCAGGGTGCCATAAGGCCCTTTGGAGGGTGCTGCACAATGTTAGTGCTGTCGTGTGTGCAAACACAGGCACATGATTCAAAGATGAGCCCAGAGATTCCTGTTTCCAAGTTCTTTGCGACAGAATTGCCCTCATTTTCTTATAGGCAGATGAGTGAAAGCCAACACCTTGTAGTTTCCAACGGGGTACCTTGGGCTTAAGGAGAAGTTATTGGGCAATATGAAGTTTCGTTTCGACCTGGGAGAAATTTTACAGTCTTTGAATTCTCCTTTGCCTGACAAAGGGCTTTTGGCCCCAAAAGCTTGCAAATAAAAAAAATTGTTTTTGCAACTATCTAGTTAGTTTAATAAAAGATATCACCACTACCCCAAGAGTTTTGTCTGCCTGTGCCTGTAGACCAACATGGCTACAGCCAATGTTCCTTGGGCTTAATGAGTGGTGCCTTGAGTCTAATGAGCTAGTGAACTGGGACAGAGGTGATTGAGGGGTTTCAGCTCCTGCTTTGATGTATGAGGGGAGATGAACTATTATCTCCCAGATATGCCTGCCTTTGTGCCCCAAAGCTTGTAAAGAAATTTTTTGAACTATTTAGCTGGTCTAATAAAAGATACCGCATCTACCCGAAGAACTTTGTCTGCTTATGTCCTTAGACCAACACAGCTGTAGCCAACACCCCTGCCAGGCACAGGCACCTGCAGCCGCAGTCTCATGAGTATAATATCCAGCCACCAGAGGGTGGTAGGGTGGAGCTCACTCTTTGAGCCTGTGGAAAGCAGCATATTCCCCCCGCACAGAGGTTTAATCTGCTATCCTTCCTGGTAGCTGTGTCCTGTCCCTGGGAGAGAGGTTGCCAGACCCTTTCTGAAGCCCAGTAGCCAGTCCTGAAAGCTGCGTAAATCGACTGTTGATGCAATCATGAACATGAGTTTACTGAGCGGTGGTTTGAGGGCTTGTCTGCAGGAAGCTTATACTGGCACAGACAAAAGGTGAATGCAAGATGCTGTAGTTACCCTGATACCAGGCCCTGTGAGGATTTGGTTAGGCTGGAATTAGTAGTGACTTCTGGTTAAGTTTGCTCCTTTTTGAAGGGCTTTGAAGGTTACATGTGGAGGTGGTGGGGAGGGCAGGGAAAGTCACTTGCTGTAGAGCAGTGGGAGCCAACCTTTTGGCAGGTGTTGCCTAACTCAGCCTTGTACCTTCCCCCAAAACCGCTGATGTCTCTCCCCTGCTCAGTCTTCTCTGTTTTCTGTTTTCTGCCCCCTCCTCAGTCTGCCACATGTCAAATGCAGAGGCTGCCTGTGCCAATTGTGCCATCCATGCCACAGGTGGGAACTTGCTGGTGCTTGCGAAGCAGCCCTGGAGCAGTGTGCAGAGCTTGCTATATCCCCTTCTATGCAATAGTATCCATCCTGTCTGCCAGGTGGACCCTAACACTGCACCGCGCCTCCTCCTTGGGCCTTAGTACTGTCCTCTATTACAGTCGTGACCTCTTCAAGAGCTCTTCAGTCTGCTCACCACCTCAGCCATAAGTGCTGCTTTACACAGCTCCATCCTGCTGCTGTTTGATGGGAGATTGTGCTATGCCTAGGCTGCTGCTTGCAGGCTTATGGAAGGAGGTATCTGTCTACCTTTCTCCCTCTGAGGCCAGCAGCAATGGGGGAGAAACAAGTTTCTTGATTATTGATGGGCATAGGGAGCAGCTGGGCAGTGGTGTCACTGTACGTTGATGTTGTAGGCAAAGGAGTCATTTTTGTCATTTTTGGTTCTCAAGGTGGAGATGTGTCCTGAAAGGCTTAGGTGGAAGGGTTGGTGGCCAGCAAGGAGTCTGGAGGCAGGAAGGGTTGAGAATAGCGCTAGCTGCATTCAGTGCACTCTGTGATGGAGACTGTCATGCTTTGTTGGCTGCCATCCTCATTTGCAGATTGTACAAGCAGGTCCCTACAGTTAGTGTGAATCAATAAGGTTTTTTACCTGTCCTTGATGCCCTCCCATTAGATCTTCCTTGCAGGCTCATTACTGTGGTGCTGCTACCATGCACTGAGAAGAGTGAGCACATGGCTGAACCGTTTCCAAACACCCCAACTTTAGGCTTATCTTATGTTGCCATTTGCAGTGAAACACACCGGTAGGTTCTCAGACTCTGTGCATGGCTTCTTGCCCCATAGCCCTCTCTTCCCCTTGACAATCACTGTCCAAGATCTGCCCTGTTCTCATAGGCCTCTGCTAGCAGTACTGTGTGTAGGATGAGAGGTTTCAGGGAAGGTGCTGAGGTACTTGTAAGTCTGAGAAGGATGTAGAGGACCAGACACAAATATAAGAGACAATCTGAACCATCTCTACTTCTATGCACTTGCATGTGTGCTAATGCTGTCTTCAGAGGGGTTAAAACTGGTCCATTATTTGTAAAGCTCTTTGTTTCTACACAGAGACAGAGTTATGGAGAGTGAGCTCCCATGTTAGAAACCCACTTGGCTGGGACGGTTCAGTCAGGGATGATCTTGTCTTGAGCAGGGGGCTGGACTAGATAACTTCGTGAGGTCCCTTCCTTCCTATGATTTCTATTGTTCATAGGAAATTGAGGATACACCAGTAGCATCAATGGGATATGGGTACCCAAGGGGAGATGCTTCTAACACTGTTACTGGAGATGATAACTTAAGAGTTCAGCAATTCTGAACTGATTGGGCCATTTGCTCCCGGATCAGTTTGGGAACCTCTGACCTGTGTTCCCAGCGGAAGCTGAGACCTGCCTGTCTTTGGCTGAGTTCTGACCTCAGTTTTGGTTCATGTCCAGTCAATTCCAGCGAAAGAAGTGTTTGGATTCGTGGTGGAAACCCTCTGGCTTTAACAGTGGTAGATGATTCAGAAACTGTTGCAAGGTGAGCTGCCAGTCTCTAGTGACACAAATTTTGCTGGGAGATTGGTGAACTTGGGGTTAGCTAACTAGGGGTGACAGTGCTAGAAGGCCTACGAGTCCCATAGCACTCCGCTGAGCTCTGTGTTAGCTTCACTTGCCTGCATTGCAAAGAGAGGGAGGTCCAATGGTTAGCCCTACCCTAGGGGAAGGAAACCTGGCTTCATTTTTTGCTGTGCACCAGACTTGTGCTTCCTGCTCCATCCTGACCTGCACAGTGAAGTGCTAATGCTGCAGCCCCTCAGCATTGCTACAAGGATAACCATGTTAACAAGATGATGAAGTCTCATATATACCATAGACAGGCTTCCCACTTCCTCTTCCTGAAGAACCCGTAGGGTGTGTTCTCTCTTCCTCTGGGTGTTACACAGGGCCTCAGTTACTAAACACCTGTTTATAGTAACCATTGTGGACGTCGGTCTGGAAAACTGCCCTAAGGTGAGACTCTCTCCATAAACAGCAGCTAGTTTTGGGCATGTAGGCAGGTGAGTGAGCTCTGAGCAGGGAGATTTATTATTTCTGTCCTCTGGTACATTGTCTGGGTTTTACTTCTGTCTGCTGTGGCTGTTGAAACTAGCTGCCCTCATTATCTGTCTTGTTCCAATATGGGCTGGGCAATTTGGCTGGGACTGATTTGTCTACCGCTTGGTCAGCCTGGTAGCTCCAGATGTCCCTAACAGATGGGGGCTTGAACTGCTGGGTGAAATCCCCTGACACTTTGTCGACTCTAAAGCCTTGCTCTGGGGCAGCAATCCCACAGCCCAGCTTGCATTACCTGGACTGGGAAACTTCTGTTAAAGATGGAGGGTTTTCACCATAGACCCCTCACCTTGATCCATACGACACAGTTGCTGCAGTCATTTACCCCTGATTTTACCCCCTAGCAAGGAGCAAGTACAGGACTAGCTGGCTGCCTGCTTGGAGATGCTATTGCAGCACCTGGCCAGTAGGTGACAGCAGAGCTGGTTTTCATTGAGGCTGAAGCTGAGGTTATAGCAGGGGCGGGCATTTATTTTGGGCAGAGGGCCACTTACTGAGTTTTGGCAAGCCATTGAGGGCCGCATGACAGGCAGCCCAGGGGAGATAAATATTTAATTTTCTAAATTTTTTAGGGGCTCCGCGGGTCAATTCTCTGTTGTGAAGAACTCGGACCACACCAGGGCAGTACTTTCTTAACGTAGTGGATTCTTATTTGAAAACTTTGATTTTTGTCTTGGGAATCATGTTTGCACACCTCACGGTGCCAACATTGTGCTGCACCCTTGAGAGGATCCCAGAGTTACTCCAGTTGAAAATCGCTGACTTAGGGAGCAGCGGGGTGCTCCAGGAGACACCTGATCTAGCCAGGGTGTCAGGAGGCAGAGCTCTGTGTGGCACAGGCTGTGACACTGAGTGACTGGTGCTGATGCCTCCCAAGTGCTGTGCTAGAATGGAGCAAGGGACTGCTGCCTGATAGGGATGGGACTGTGTGGGCCTGGCTGGGGACCCCTGCCCCTCTACTGGCTGGTTCAGGGTGGGACCCAAAGCTGGCTGCTGCCAGAGGCCCCTTCAGCACCCCGGGGTCCACAGCAAAGGCAGCAGGTTGGAGGCGAGGTGTGGGGGGGAGCCCCATAGCCTAGAAAAGCACTTTGGACTGTGTTTGTGTGTAGGGTGGGTGTCCCACATCCTGGCCTTGGTGTTGCCCTGCCCAACCTGCTTTTCATGGAGACCAGGGACAGCAGCACCCACAGCTGGGATGGGCCTGCGCAGGCCATTCTCCAAGCCACCAAGGTCAGCCAGGCAGCCCGCAGGGCCCGGGAAACCCAGGAAGAGCTGGAGCAGATCAGGACACGGGTTGAGCACGTGAGTCAATTGCCCTCCCACCACAGGCATCCATGCCCTGCTGTGAGACTGCCTTCACATGGGGCTCCCAGCAGCTCCCTGTGCTGCTCAGCCTCTCAGTTTTGGCTCCTTGCCCCTGGTTCCAGCTCCAACTGCTGCTTCCTCACAAACTGTCTGATGTTAAGGAGGCATCCTCCTGCACTTCCTGAGTGCTTGGCTGGTAGATCATGTGGGACCAGCAGAAGCCCTTCATTCTCTGTTGCCTCCCTGCTTCCAACTCTTGCTCTTGTGGCCATTTGGCAGCAGGATAGAGCCCAGCCTGAACAGTGGCTGCATTTCCTACGTGACCCGCTGTAGCCTAGTTCCTCGGGCAATACCTTGGTCCTGGGGTGGGGGCATGGGGCGTGCTTTGGGCCCAGTGGTGCCCTGAGCCCTGTGCTCATTAACTCTTCTGCTTGTACCAGATGATCCAGGCCTATGAACGCAGCAAGCAAGTCCCTTTTGCCCCACAAGCAGCCACTGAGGTGGTGGAAGACGTGGTGAGTCGGGCACAACTAGTCACCCTCCCCCAATCTGTCATGCCCTCCTCGGGGACAGGAGGGTGACACAGCTGCCAGGTTCGGCCTGCTGGCAGGCAGCGCTGGCACTAAGTTGGAATGAATTCATGCCTGGCAGCACCCATTTCGAGACTGGCAGAGAGGCTGGTGCTGGGTGAGGATCATTATGGACAGCCCTGGCAGGGAACCTGGTAAAGGGAAGAACTCCAGCCCCCTTCGTTGAAGTATGCCAGGCCCCTGTCCCCCCTGCTACCAAAGCAGCCAGCTGAGTACAGTGCAGTCCTGGGGATGGAGGTTGGGTGTGAGTGGGCACTAGGGTGGCTGGGCCTGACTGGTCTGGGCAGAGGGTGCGTGGCCCAGAGCTCCTTGCCTCGTCCGTTCTCAGCTGTTAGGTGCTCAGGAGACATTTGCCTTGAGCACTGCCAGTAGGCAGGTTGAGGGGGGAGTTGTTTCAGGGCTCTCACTGGGCAAGGGAAAGTATTTTAACTAGGAGAAGACCATGCGTGGGAGCAGGGTGGACCCCCATCAACCAGCAGGGTGCTTTATGAAGGCTGTCGCTGTCCCCAGCAGCCTTCTGGACACTCCTGAATCCCAGGCAGGACCCCAAGATGTTGGGAGCCTGAGGTACATGTCTGGGGCTTTATTTAACATCTTGCTGGCTCTGAGGTGACGAGGCAGACCCGCTTCACGTGCCATCTCACCCAGCAGTGGCTTGTGAAGAGAAGAGATGGGATGCAGGCGCTTGTCCCATCCGGGGAGTCTCCCAGTGTGAACCAAGAATCGAGCATCCCCAAAGGCTGAGACCCTGGCCAGGACGGGAGCAGCCAGCCAGGCCCGGGTGGCTGTAGGGGCCTGCGTGGGGATCACTGAGGGCTGGGTCCGCCTTGCTGCCGAGGGAAGCCAGAGTCTGTGTGGTTCACAGTGGGCCTCTGTCCTGCATCCTCAGGAGCAGCTAGAGACCGTCCTGAGTGACCCAGTGAAGAAGAGGAGATACCAGCAGCAAGTCACTGTCTTCATCGTGGGCTACCAGGAGTCTTGTAGGCAGCGCCACACTCTCCTCCACCAGCTGCAGGAGGTCAGGCAAAGGACTTGGGGTGGAGCAGGTGGGAGCATGGGGCACCCAGGGATGGACAGCAGCTACGCTAACACGTGGAGAGGGGCTGGAAGGGGGGGAAGCAAAGGGCACAGGGGGATGTGGTCCCTGTGATGCCTGGGACCTAGGCCAACAGGGCTTTTCCAGAGGGTAGGACTCGAGGGGTGAGTGACCCAGCGGGCGTGACTCGCGCGCTCTCAGTTCTTCAGCTGCTCAGCGGAGCTGAGCCTGGGGCAGGAGAGCCACGTCCTGACAGACGACTTCACCGTGCACATGGACAGCACAGCCCACAAGGTAAAGTCCACAGCTGTCTCAGCCACCCCTCCGCAAGAGGTGCTGTTGCCCCATGCCCAGCCACTTGGGAGAGAAACTCCCGTCGGTCCCCTGCACCGTGCAGACCATGCCAAATGAGCCAGCAACCCCCCAGCTGCTGGAGGAGCAAGTCCACCTCTGCAGCCATGTTTCTGCTGCATCTAATTGGCGCTCTCCACCCGTGCTCCCCCTGTAGCCAGGAATCATTCCTGC